AGGAGCAATTAGCCTTAAGCTGTCAGCCCATTAAGATGGGTGTTTTTATTTCGGAACCACATCTAGGGGCATTCAGCATCTGGAGGAATTTATCACTCCAGTAAAACCAGCCGAGAAGAAAAGAAGCAAATAGGAGATTAGTTTTACGGGTTTACTAATGGGTTTCAAACACCAAGGGGGGTTTAGAGCTGTTTTACCTGGCTGGCTTTAAAAAACAACAACAACAACAACAACAGCCCTATAACCTGAGAGCAAAACAAAACAAACTAAAAAAACTACTCAAACTGGGGGGACTCTGGGGGTCCAAAACCCCCAAACCCTCCTCAGACTGGGCTTAGAGGGAGAAACATGATGGGAGCCAGGCTCCCTCTGCGTCAGGAATGTGGAAACTCTGCCAGTCTTGTTTCAAAAGTTGTTATTTGTTGTGATAATCACAGCTGCTGGGGGAAAGGGGGGGGGGTGTTGTAGTCCACCTGCCGGCCTGGTTTTGGCTCGTTCCGGTCAGATTTGGGCCTCGGAGGTGGTCTCGGACCCAGAAATGACCCAGAAAGGGTCCAAAAACATCCCAAAAATGGCCTAAAAACGGCCCCAAAACAGCCCAAAAAATGGCCCAAAAACGGCCCTTAAACAGCCCAAAAACAGCCCAAAAACAGCCCCAAAAATGGCCCCAAAACAACCGCAAAACAGCCCAAAAATGGCCCAAAACAGCCAAAAAAATGACCCAAAAATGGCCCAAAAACGGCGTCCGTGTGAAGGCCGAGGGGCGAGTCGATGCTTTGGTTTGTGAGTCAGAGCCCAGAGTGATGGATGGGATGGGGGGGGGGGGGGGGGGGGGGGATTGGGGGGGGGGGGGGGGTGGGAGAGGGGGGGGTGGTGTGGGGGGGGGGGGGGGGGGGGGGGAGATAAATGTGTCGACTTTGTGGAGTATTTTGGTGCAGGTTTTTGTGTAGTTGTTGTGAGTTGGGAGCGCTGCGGCGGGGAGGACAGAGAGAGAGAAGAGAGAGATCAGGATAAAAGGCCCAGAGCTCAGAGGGAACAGGAGGGAGGAGACCCAGGAGTTAAGAACAAATGAATCACTGTAGGCCACACGCACAAACAGACTATCAGACGCACAAACAGACCCACAACCAGACTATCAGACGCACAAACAGACGCACAACCAGACGCACAAACAGACCCACAACCAGGCACATGAACAGACGCACAAACAGGTGAACAGATGCACAGACAGATGCACAACCAGACGTACGAACAGAAAAACAGGTGCACGCACAGACAAACAGGCACACAAACAGATGAACAGACGCACAACCAGACACACGAACAGACCCACAACCAGATGCACAAACAAGCACAACAAGACACACAAACAGGCGCACAAACATGTGCACCACGAACAGACTAACAGACGCACAACCAAATGCACAAACTGATGCACAGACGCACAAACAGGTGAACAAACAAACACAAACAGGCGCACAACCAGATGCATGAACAGATGAACAAACAGGCGCACAAACTCACGCACAGGCGCACAAACAGGTGCACAAACAGGCGCACAAACTGATGCACGGACAGACACACAAAAAGGCGCACAACCAGATGCACAAACAGGTGCACAAACGGGCGCACAGACGAACCAACAGATGCACAAACAGACATCTGCTTGGCCTGTTTAGTTGTTGTCTAAAAGGAGAAATAATGCTAAAAACTAATACTTCCGTCCCTCCCGGTGAGAATTGCCTCACATTTGTGCGGACTGTCAGACTCTGGTTCTTTCCGGGGTCCCTCAGAGAAACCCTCCCTACCCTCAGCTCTGTTCCCTCAGAGGCAACAACAGGCCTTTTCCCCCCCCCCCCCCATCCCTCTCAGGTCAGCTCCCTTATCAGCCAGTTTCTCCAGATAAGTCAGTCAGAGTTAGCCTGTTCTCCTCAAACCCGGCCAGCCTAAAAGCCTCACAGCACAAGGAGGAAAAATCAAACAGCTAAATGATCTCAAGGTGCAATTCCCAAAGATATGAGATGAGATGCTATTTCTAAGAAAGCCTGGAATGAAGCAACTTAAGAAAACTAGAATAAATTCAGGTCATACTCTACAAACTAATCTTGTGAAGGCTTTCCAGAACAAGACAAATACCCGTAATATTCAAGAAACAAGCTTTTTTCTGAAAGAATCAATAATAAAAACCATCTTGGTTATCAATTAACCCTTTGAGGTACTCATTAAGCTACAGGGAGCTGGTGGGGGGGGTTCTGACATTTAAAATGACTGTGTTTTAGCTTTTAACCGGACCAGAGGAAGCCTGGTGAGGCGTTCGCTGCTCCCCGACATTTGAGACTCTTCGGTAGATGTGTGAAAAATGCCAAAGATAACTCGGCGTGTGGTTGTCTCAGCACGCCTGAAAAAGGAT